GTCTTCTTTTTATCTGTTTCTAATTCACAGAAAGTTAATCCCAAAAGTCCTATACACAGACCCACACTAAATAATGTTATCTATTCTAATTTCAATAAAAGAAAAGATTGGGATTAACCATCGGATTTACCCATGTCCTTGTAAAAGCCATTAAATCCGCTGAAATAAGAACAACAAAACGAACGCGCAATGTTTACCGTGACGTCCGCACTGACGTTATAAATAAAGGGCGCGTAATCCATGCTACGCTACGTAGAATACTCCTATTCGGAGTTCTGCAGTATCGTATCTTCTAGGATCAACCAGAAATGGTCTGACATGTTACGGAACCTCGACACCGCAAGATACCAGATTGATCCGAAGATACCAAACCAAACCATCCATGTGTAGCCATCTGCAAAGTGGCAACCAGACTCCGGACCAACAACGTACTACGAAAACCATCAGTTCAACGCCATTAAATGTCGCTGCGGCCACGTTGCCACAAGGTCGCATGTCCTCATTCAATGCACTGAACTGAAACCCGCTCGTAAGCCACTGCTAGAGTACCTGGAAACCAACTGCATACCACTCACCATACAGAATGTTTTGGCTCCACCCACGGACCACTGGTATACGATAATGGAACTAGTCTTCCATTTTATAACTAAATCTGTCTTGAACAGATAGGCTAAGTTTTTAAACTCAAAGTTTCTTAACACTTTTTACTTTTTAATTATATCCAATCAATTTAACAAGTTTCATTGCAGAAACATTAGAGAACATCTCTCCCCCTTTTGTGAAAGCTTTCACCGCCATGTCATTCGACCCGACCAGATCTAACGAAGAATCAACAACAAAACCAACAACACCGAATCATCCAATTTGATCCAATCTAACTACCAACTACCACGACTACCAACAACTACCTAGTTTGCGATATCAGCATCCGCTGGAAGCGAACGTTAACTTGTCATCTACCTACCTACCTCCATGCTACGCTCTCATTCAGACGAAAATGAGTTTCTCCAAGCAGATCGACTTTTCTGACAAAGAAAGTAAATAATCTCCAATATTGAAGTTGGAGAAATAATTTAATTGGGGAGAAAAATATAAGACTGTGAATAAATTAAGGTTTAATACAAGATCCTTCAAGAGGATTCCTTAAATAACACAGTTGGAGAATATTTCCACTATTGAAGTGGAAGAAACTCTCCAAAATATCAAAGTTGGAGAATATCTCCAATATATCAAAGTTGGAGAATATCTCCAAAATATCAAAGTTGGAGAATATCCCCAAGATCAAGTTGGAGAAATACTTTTGGAGAAAGATTAAAATTAGGGAAACCTTAAGCTTAAAGTTGGAGAAATTAACATTCTCCAAGATCAAATAAAGAGCCCATAATTAAATACCAACATTGGGTAGGAGAAATATTATAACTTTTTATGAAACAATAATAATATAAAATAAGTAACGTAAAGACACAAAACTCTTATATATCCTAAATTAAGATTAAGATAATACAATTTAAGTATATATAATAACAAATTAATAATTTAATTCCAGAAGTGTAAATTAGAATAAACTAAATATAGATATTTAGAGAAGCTGAGAAGATACGTGTTTGATTTGTTTTATTGTAGTATTTACAAATAAAAGTATTGTTGTTTATTTGCGTGTTTTGATATCTCTCCAATTTCGTAGCATGTTAGGTTTGATGTTGGGCGGGTCCTTATATTAATAAATTGATAACAAAATTCCCTTCATCCTGACAGATTTTTGGGATTTGTTACATTGGTGTCAGAAGTGGGATTTCCAACATTCTTGTTTATTCCTAAATCCACGTGGACACCCCCTCAGGCCGCCATCCATCCTGAAATATTGAAAGCATTTGCTAGTATGAATAGCCAAACAGTGAACCTTTCCATAACACACGAAAAGCCTAATCTCACACGAGTGGAACGTGAAGCGTTAAACTTACTTAAGAAAGACGATAGCATTGTTATTAAAAAGAGTGACAAAGGTTCATGTTGTGTCATTCTGAATAGGGAGGATTACGTTTCAGAAGCAGAGAATCAACTGAATAATCCTAAACATTATGCCATTTTACCGAAACCAATTTTCAAAGAAACTGCTAACATGATTAATAATATTCTTGCCGATTTAGTCAAAACTAGTTATCTCAAACAGAAACAATATGACTATCTGTCTGCCAAACCTGATTGTCGCGAAAGACATTTGTACACTTTGCCTAAAATCCAGAAGAATCCAACCAAGGAGTGGTTTATCTCGAATAAAATCCCTAAAGGCCGCCCGATTATATCTGACTGTGGTAGTGAGTCATATGCAGTGTCAGAATACATTTATCATTTCTTACTACCTCTAGCATGCCAACATCGCGCCTACCTTAAAGACACAACCGATTTTGTCAATAAAATAAAAAATCTTCGAGTTCCCTCTAATGCTATTTTAATTTCTATCGACGTTTCTTCTATGTATACCAATATCGATAACACTACTGGTTTAACGGCAGTTCGTAAAGCTTTTAATAGAAACCCAGATCCAAACAGACCCGACGATGCAATTCTACAGCTTTTAGAGATTTGTCTTAGTCGAAACATTTCACATTTAATGGTAAAACATATTTACAAACTTCAGGGACAGCAATGGGCAAACGATTCGTCCCTTCGTACGCAAACCTTTTCTGGCAGAGTGGGAACGTGAGGTGTTGCCCCTCTGTCCATTTGACCCACTTTTTTACGGACGCTTTTTGGATGACATTTTTATGGTTTGGACTTATTCTATCGAACAGTTTTGGGAATTCTTTGAAATTCTCAACAACCACCATCCTTCTATCAAACTAACCGCAAACGTGAGTGACAAAAGCATAGACTTTCTCGATACCACAGTCTTTAAGGGAGATTCCATAGCAGAAACAAATAAACTGGATATTAAAGTGTATTTCAAAGAAACTGATACTCATCAACTCTTGCACAAGAGCTCCTTTCACCCAAAACATACCTTTTCTGGTATAATTAATTATTTACGATTTCATCGAATTTGTACAAGATCTTCTGATTTCAACCAAGCCTGTACGATTGTTTTCTCAAAACTGAAAGAGTGTGGGTACTCTAAACGATTTTTACGAAACATTAAAAATTCCACCTTAGCACAGATAGCAGCTAAAAACAGACTTTATGCCGAAGTACCTCCAGGTTTAAGAAGTGCTCCATGTTTGTCCAGTAGATGCAAAACATGTCCCTTTATATCAGAAACTCATTATTTTGTAAGCAACTCTACGAATAAAAGGTACCCGATCCAGGAACATCTAACATGTGAACATTCGAATGTAATATATTTAATTTCATGCAAGAAATGCCCCAAACAATATGTAGGAGAACTAAGATAATGGGATCCTC